TAATCACCTAGGTTAGATCGTATTTTTTATTAAGAGTAATTATTTATAACTACAGTATACGATCTTTATGAAGTAGTTAACAAATACACATAATTAATAAATTTATTATTTATCTAGCTCTCAGCATATATGGAAAGATTGTAATATGAATGCTGCAAATAAATTACACAGTTCACTATGTACTCCAAAGAATATAGAGTATTTTGACAATTACATGGATAAAGGAATGTTAGACCCGATGGCCGTGTTTTGCGGCGATTACGACGCGTCCGACAAATGCGACAAATTGGTCAAACAATTTCCCAAATCATATTCTGGCAGGCTGGTTTATAAAACTATTTTTCCGGCCATAATTCAACTATTTGAATCCCTTTAAAAAATATTTTATCAATTAATTGTGTGTTGCAACTTACAACTTGTAAGTTTTAAATTTTAGCAATATTATTTCAAAATATTTACCAAGTTTTGTTTTAAAAATTCTAATTTTTATATGAAATGTTTTTATGCTTATTAAAATTATTATTTTTATAATATCAATACTATTTTGACTGTTAATATTTAATGTATTTAATCTAGCAATATAGCATTTAACCTAGTAGCTTTTGTTAAAAATGCTGTATTTTTTGTTGTTAATCATACTTTGTGCTGTCATTAAAAGTCATGTATAATTCTGTTATTATATGACAATAAACTTTTAACCTTCAAATTGAAAGCATGATTGAAGTGTATAATTTGAAGTTAACTAAAAACTAAAATATACTGCATAATCACAGAACATATCCAGCACATCTTTACACTTATTATTTAAATAATATCTAACTTGTATGATATATTTGATTTATTTTAACAAATAAATGCATTTTATTTTATTTTGCAAATTAAAAATAAATAAAAAACTTTATTAGTTTCAAAATGATTATTTTATTTTAATCTTGAAAGGTCATTTTATTGTTGAATGAACAAAACATATATACCTATATAAATTATTTACTTTAATTGCAAATTAGTTTGGGTACTTGTTTTCCCATAGGCTTACATTTAAATTCCGATCAAATGCTTTCTATTTTTGGTAAATAACTTTCAACATTCCGTGGGATATTAAACCTGATAAAAATCTATATGCTAAAAATTGTTTTCACAAAAAAGTAATTTAAAAGTGGTAAAGTGGATCATAATCAATAATTGATCTAGGCGGACTCAAAAACATCGGGATGTTATAAAACCACTATTGCAAATTTTTTAGCCATCATAATACAATCAACCATGAAGATTAACACTTATATAATACATTGTATTGTATTAATACTAACATGTATTAATAAATACACCAATGGTTTAGAAAAAGGCTGTAGAATGAGGTATGCGAATTATGCCTAATATAAATCTACAATCTATTTACCATTGTAATATTAATTTATTTTACAGCCAACTAGATTCAAAAATGAACGAGATCACCGGCATGATCTCAAAATCGGACCGCAAATTTCCCGAAACTGAAAAACAACTTGATCACATTTGCCAGTAATAAATTATTTACTAACTTTGTGTTTATTATAATTAATTATTAAAAAGTTAAATAAGTAAATTTAATTCTGGTACATTAATTTTAAATAATGGTAACATTATTTAATCATGTAAATTTAATATTTAGGGTGAATGCCAGAGATATAACCGCCAGCAGAAAGTATATGAAGAGATGTACGACAGGTACGGCCAAAACAATCATCTCGGTATCGATACACTCGGTTGAGAAAATGAATATTAAGACCATGTGCAAAATAGCCAGTGAGCGTAGGCGTGTCATTCAAAATTCCAAGTGCTATAATCGGGGTAAAAAAGAGCTGACCAAATGTTGGACAAATAATAATGCTATGCTTACGGCCATTAATAATGTTACCGATACCCAATTGAAAATACCGCTTTTGTGTTGGTAGGTTATTAATAATAACCTTATGGGTTTAAAATATAACTTATTCTTGCTTAATAACAATAATTTTTCATGCTAGATGATTTATCAATATACAATTTATAATTTTTTATATACCAATTAATTAAAACTAATTCATTAATATTAAATAATTTAATGTAAAATTTAATTTTATCTAGTTCAATGATGAAATGGAAACAATGCACCCTGAACGTCTACCAGAACATTGGACCGCCCTTGTGTCAGCAAAATGAGCTAGACTATATTGACCAGTTTTTAGATAAATCAATGTTTGACTCCATGAATATATTTTGTACGGATTATTTTACTGAGTCCGATAAATGTGACACTATTATGCCCAAACTAGCAAACATTAAGCTGGGTAGAAGAATTAACTATTCCACACCATTTCCAGCAATATTAAACCTATTTGAATCATTATAATTAGGATTAATGATTTTTATTATGTACTAACTCGTAAGCAACATGTTATGCGCTATTCTTGTCAACATGTTTACACACATAATTAATTTTTCATTTTTGTAACTTATTTATCAGGAATATTTAATTAGAATATTAAGTAACATTTTATTATTTTTTAATAAAATCATTATTATAACTAAAAAAACGCGTTATTTTGTGTCTACAATACCTTTAGAAAGTACCTTGAAGCGGTTCCCCATTACCACATTAGTGCAATGATAATGTTAAATGACATTGATGGTTTCATGTTTGGCCCTCATCCTTACTGTATTAATTTAATATCAATTGTGTTATTAAGATGACATTGAAATTACCATAACATTATTGATTAATTCATTTAATAGTAATCATGGCTTAATTAATTTTACTTGAGTTATTTTTTGTGTGCTTATGTCATAATTTACTGTACTTTACTTTAATATGTATGTATGATTTGGATAATACCTTCTATTAATTTTGAGCTTTTTATTAAGATTTGTTTAATAATAACATGTCTTATAAAATGTGATTTTAAAAAATATCATTTTTATCACTTATTTGAATAATATTCTTATAATATAGTAATTAATTTACATTATTTAAAGAGTAGCTAGAGATATAATTATTATTAATTGCTGGTAATTGTTATTAAAAATTAAAATTTGGTAAATTCATCGAGAATTGACAATTTTTTGTAATTAACTAAAATTTAAATTACAAATAAATTTAAATCAAAATTTAAAATACAATTTACACTATTTAACATACATAGCACATACATAATTTACACTGTACAAATTTGTATAATGTACTGTCTATACAGTAAACTTCAGACAACTGTTTCGTTAACCTTAAGGAAACTAATCAAGAATATGCGTGTATTTCAAAGTTATAGCCAAAGTATAGAATATATAATTGATATTATCATATATACTGTACAGTAAATGTCAGTATTTTTTGCCCAACAATTCAATGATTAGATAAAATATCAAAAGCCTTGAAATGATATATGCTTTCAGACGTGGAATATAGAGGTTGTGATCAATGTTTGGTATCGTTAATAAATGTTGTCCCTATTAATTAATACCCTGATCATCATTAGTAAACTTACTACATTTATCCTGGTACAATATATTATTAGGAAGTGTACGAGCAATTATGAATTCAACATAACAGTCTATTTAATGCTATTTTTAAATGTGATTTATTATGTATGTTAATTGTGGACATAAATTGCATCAGGATGTTTTAGCGCAGAGTCAGTACAAAATTACCAATATCACCCCTATAAGTTAATTTGTGTTGTATATTATGTATTAATAAACGCATACTTTCATGATTGTCGTTTAAGTCATGTCATTAACATGATTTTATAAAAAATTATTAATTAATGTTTTTTAATTAGTAAAAGTTTTGTATTAGTTTAAAATACAAATTATTATATGTCTGGCATTTAGCAAATATATTTTAGTTTATCACCAGATTTTGTATTGTAATCATCATATTTTTACACTTATTTTGTAATTAATTTCACCCGATTTTACACACTATGTCTGATCTCAGGTAAATAAAAATAAATAATTTCTAACATGTTTATTAATTCATGTATTTACTAATTACTAAAATTACTAAATAATTGCTAAAAAGCAAACTAAAAAATACATTTATAAAATAACATTCCTAATTAAACTTAAATAATAATTATTAAATTTTTATACAACTAACCAACAATACAAATAGCGAGGGTATAATACTAGGCATCGGTAACCCGTTGCTGGACATCACGTGCAACGTTAGCGACGAGTTTCTAATTAAATGGAAACTGAACGCCAACGACGCGATAATGACCGAGGGCGAATCGCACGACAAACTATTCACCGAGATCACCGCCAACTACCAGTGCCAGTACATAGCGGGTGGCAGTTGTCAAAACACGTTGCGCACAATCCAATGGATGCTGAGCAAACCTAATCTGGTCACGTGTTTTGGAGGGGTGGGCGACGACGAGTTCGGGCGCATTATGGCCGACAAGTCGCGCGAAGTGGGCCTAAACTCGGTGTACATGGTGGACAAACTGGTGCCCACGGGCAAATGCGCTTGCCTCATTTCCCAGGGCAACGCGTGCCGCTCACTGGTCGCCTATTTGGGCGCCTCCCAGACGTTTAACATACAGCACGTGTTGGACAACTATGGTTACGTGGAAAAGGCCAAGATCATTTATTCAACCGGCTATCACCTGGCTGTTAGCAAGGAGTCCATATTGAATTTGGCCAACCATGCGCATAGTAATGCGGGTAAATTGTTTGCGTTCAATTTGTCCGCTCCCTATATTAGTCAGGTGTTTGGCAAAGACCTGCTGGAAGTTGTGCCGTATATGGATATACTGTTTGGCAATGAGACAGAGGCGGCCGCTTTTGCCGAGCTTAATGGTTGGCAGGTATGTGTGTGTCATCTAGATGATGATGGTATTTGTTTTTTATTAGGTTATTATTTTTGTTGTTGTGATTGTTGTTTAAATTAAGCTTAATGATGATTTTAAAATTATTAAATGTCATTTTTACAAAGGTTATTATATCAGTAATAGAAATGCTCTTATTATATGGATGGGAACTAGTTTAAAATGTTTATAAGAATGATTAAATATTTTGTAATATATTAGTAGGATATATACAGAATATAAGTTGTGAGCGGAAAATATTGTAAAAATTACAATTGATTAATTTTTGTAGTCGTACATGTCCAAATAACTTGCAAAAATCATAATGGTTAAGTAATTACAATAACCATGATGAATAGAGTACAGTTTGTACATAGTTTCTGCTATTTTACTATTAAATGAATTTTAAATAATATTTTCATAACGAGAAACTTTAGTTATGTAAGATAATTAAAATTAAATATACTTTTGGTCAAATTGTTTACTAAAGTATATTTACTAAAGATTGGTTCAGTTTGGTTCACAAATTTATATAATTGAATTTAATTAAATTGCTAATATTTATAAAAACAAATATTAACTATAGTCATCATAACTGTTAGAAGTTTTTAAACTAGACATTTAATTTTAATTTTATAAAATTTATTTTTAATTTAGGAATTTATTTTAAAAATAGCAATGTATAAACTACCCTTAATTAATATTATAACTAAAAATTCATTTATGTTTTAAGTAAAATAATTGGTACACATTATATCTAAATGCAAGTTATTTGTGGGCAAATTACTGTATTAAAAAAATAAATCTAGATTATTTAATTATTTTTACTTTATTATAGCTACGCTATCATCTAAGCCAAATAATTAATTAATAATCATAATATATTATAAATATAATAACCTAATGTAAAAGTTACAATTTTTAACAAAATCAAATGACACATGAAATACAAATATTTTAAACTAGACTATAGACCTAAAACAAGTGGCTAAACTGGCGGCAGACATGCCCTGTCGGCGACCGGACGGCCGTATAGTAGTGATCACTCAGGGAACCGATGCCGTACTCGTGGCCACCACTGCCCACCACGAGGTCCGTGAATACCCGGTACCGGTGGTGCCCGAGAGTGAGATCGTGGACACGATAGGAGCGGGCGATGCGTTTGTCGGCGGTTACTTCGCTCAGTTGGTCCGCTACCGACCGATCGACGCGTGCGTCCGAAGCGGTGTTTACGCCGCACAGCAAGTGATCCGTCAAATCGGCGCTCATTTTCCCCAACAAATGACTTTTGATGAATAGTTTATACAATTTTTTAATCATGTTTTTATTGAGATTTATTGTAGAGTATTGAAATAAATGAATTATTAAATTAGGTTGTTTAATTAATAGCTGCTAAATTTAGATTGTTGGATTTTTAAATAAAAGTTACTATGTTAGATTTAATTGTGAATAAAATTTTTATAAATTAAAATTTTTAAATTTATTTCTAATTGTTGATAGCATTATAAATGTTTGCAAGTAATCAATCTATTTCATTTTAATACTACCAGTACAAATGATGGATAATTCTGATGAACATACTATACTGATGAGTATTATGGTAAACTATTTATGTCAATAAAACTTTATGTAAAATTTATGTAAAATAAACTTATATTAGGTATAATAAGCGTTATGTAAAATTTTTATACAATTAAAATACCCTTTTCATATCAGGAGATGGGTCCAATTATTAAACCAATATTGTTGTTAATATTAAATAATTATGTTTATTATAATATCTTTACAGTTTTATCAAAATTATTTAATTAGGATAATAATATTTTATTTTTATAATTATTTTTTTATAACTTTGTTCAAAATTATTATTACAAATATTTTCTATCTAAATCAATTCATTTATAAAAATTAAATGATTAAGTTTGTTATATTAATTAATAGACAACATAATCTGAATCATAAATGTTTACAACATTTATCATATAGTTTTACAATTATGTTATCAAAAATGTATTTCACTATAAAAACATGATAACTTTAACATAGACTTAATGTCTATATTAAATCACTTTCATTTTAATCGCTAAATAAACTCGTCTAAAATATATAATTTTTAAATTAATAAATATTGTTTTAATTAATTAATTTTAATTCACAAACTAATGGACGAAAAAATAAGGTATGATATCTTATAGCTCTTACAATTATTTCAAGTGTTTATAATTTGTTAATAATTTAATTACAA